AAACGGTTATGAAACTTGTGGAATTTTCATCAGAATTCACTGTATAAAAATGAGAAAGTATTCATTAAAAGAATTTGTGAATACCATTATATGGCAAGTTTATGGGTAGTTTAAAAGATATGGAGAGATTTTCAATGTGCAAAAATACATTTTATCGAAGCGAAAAGGTTTCTCATCGAATATAAATCTCATGGTTTTGTAGTACGATATGAATATGTGCGTAGATACCGGAGATAGAAAAGAGTATTCAATATATTTTCTTTTCGTTTTGAGGGGGGCAGGTTTTCTTCTATGATGTTGCCTTATATCCCAATCCTTAGAAAGTTACGATCCACTCTAATTTAAATAACTGCAATCATTTCTGGGAATATTAGAGATGGAGGGGAATAGAAGATATCAGCTCGTCATGGCTCCATCTCTTCAGTCTTTTTTATGTTTACTGATCACTGACAAATACTCGATTTGAAATTCCGTAAGATTTGGAAATATTCCTGTTAAGGGGGGATCCTGGTGAAATTTGAACGTCTTCGGTTGATGAAAATAACTATCGAGCGACTTTTGATATATAATGGGGTACCTGAACAACTAAGAAAAATTGCGTACACAATCAATTTTACTCCGTACGTCAGGCGAAAACGTAGTTTTTGGCTTTGAAATGCACCTCGCATCACAGTTTTCATCCAATTCAAACTTTTTTTTCAAAATGTTAGAATCCATCAAATAAAAATAGGCAGGGGAGGGTGGGGCAAAATGGAACGGTACAAAAAAAGAATATAGAGCGAAATTCAGACAACTTTTTTTTTTCACCTTATGTGAGCTCAAAAATGATGATTCGGGGTTAAGTCAGTGACATCAGTCTACTCTGTAGTTATCGCTATCTTGTAATCTAAGGGAGATAGGAGAATTTTGATAAGGACCCTTTTGTAGAGAATTTCAAGGGCTATAAAAACGGTCATTATAAAAATTTTGCTATCTTCATTGTAAAAAAGATAATTCAAGGTTAAAAAACTGAAGAAAAATCTGATGTCTGTAAATTCAATTATAGAGTAATAGACGATTATAGATAAATAAATAAGACCTTTGGAATATTACTATTGTTCTATGAATAAATTGAATATTAAAAAAAGGTCCTATAGTTTTTGAAAACCAAAATTCACTACCGTTCCATTTTGCCCCACTCTCCCCTTTTCTTGGAAATTAATAGAAATCTGGAAAGTTAAGGTAAATGAATTTTTGAATTTTCAATTGATTGAAAATTGAAGAATACATTATATGACTTAGTTTACTAAAGTTTACTAATGTTTTGATTGAAAATTCAGATGAGTTGAGGAATTCGCATCTTTCTGCTCTTCAAAAATTTCGAATTCCAATGAATTTTCATTATTTTTCCCCTGTATCGAAATCAGTCACTGTTTTGAAAATATTTAGGCAATTGTTCATGAAATTTCAGTTTTCTTTCAACTATTCAGCCTACTAAAGGAGAGGAAAATGTGACATTTTATCTCAAATCATTCGTTCCGGTGTCATACACTGAGAGAACAATCGTCATAATATCACAAAACTAATTTCTTGTGCCAAATATTTCATCTCTTGAGGATAAATTTCTTGGGATAAGAATTTTTTGTACCGTTCCATTTTGCCCCGCGTTCCATTTTGCCCCATCGTTCCATTTTGTCCCGCCGTTCCATTTTGCCCAACCCTCCCCTATTTTTTTCGATTATCTCAATTTGATCATGGATCATGGATCATGGAAAAATAAAATTTTTTCGGTTTACTTTTTTCATACCGTATAAACATGATTATTCTGAGTAGTTGAACATCAAAATAGTATATAAAAGGTGTTTTCAGGGGAAAAATTTTGATTTGTAAGGTATGAAAAAAGTAAAAAAACGAGTAAACCGAAAAAATTCAATTTTTCTATGACCTAATTGAAATAAATGAAAAAATGCCTAGTTTTATTCTATGGAATCTAATGAACATTTTGAAAAAAGAAAAGTTTGCATCGGATGAATATTGTGGTGCGAAGAGCATTTCAAAGCCAAAAATACGATAAACGACGTTTTCACCCGACGTACAGAGTAAAATGGGCTTGGTAGAGGAGAGTTGGGCAAAATGGGACGTTTCGTGATTTTCTCTAATTGTCAATATCTTCATTTCTAAGTGATATTAAGATATTGGCAATTGGAAAAGATCTCCATACGTCCCATTCTCTCCGACTCTCCCCTATGATTTTTTTTAGTTTTAGATGCCCCATGATACATCAAAAAATTAAGAGAATTAGAATTTAGAGAGAAAAAATTTCCGCTTCACCCAGCCGGGAATCAAACCCGGGTTTTATCAAAAGGCGCTCGCTAATTATTTCTGTCAACCGAAACTTTCAAATTTCATCAGGGTCCCCCCCTCAATAAGGACTAAGATGAGTAGAAAAGTTGGCCGCAAAAAATATTTTTCTCTGAATGTATCGACTAAGCAATACTTCCGAGCTAGCAATCCAGATCACTCAAATGAATTTACGACTAATATTCATTTTCAAATTTGAGCAGATTCACGCTAAATCAGTAGGCCAAAAAAGTCGATGCTGGGGATTTTTGTCTTTTGTTTTTTTTTTTTGAAAAGATAGCCATTAGATGAAAATTTTGAAAAAAGAAAAATTATAAAGTGTTGATAATTGAAGGAGTTATATTTTTTTGAACATGGCTAGTTTTTGTCCAAAACAGTTTTTTTTTACCAAATTGGCCTCAATATTTCTGCGGGGTTTCAAGCTATCAAATCGCTCTTTAACACACTTGAAGAACATAAAAAAGCCTCGAAATTGAAATGTCATACATAGCAGTATCTTCAATTCAATGTGGTTTATACGAGAAACCTTTTTTTTTCAATCGTTAATTACTCAAAAAGCTCATTTTTTTTAATCTCAAATTTTGACCAACAATTGTCAGTAAAATGACAAGAAGTTTGGCGTCAATCAGAGTTTGTCTTTCGCCATAGTTCTGCAGTTATTAATTTTTTCGTCACGCTGTGACGAAAAGTGAACTTTTCGGCACGCTCCGCGTGCCTCAATATTTCAACTTCACACTCGTTGCCACCCCGTCGCACTTGTATCCTTCTATGATTTTAACCAGTTTCTAAAACTATCGTTCATTGATAAAAAATTTAAAAAAATAATTGTTTTTTCAAATAAAGTAACCAATGAAAATCTATATTGATAATACACATAAATGTCAGTAATCATTCACAAATACAGTAAAATCAATTGAACTATAAATCTCAACTTTTCCATTCAAGAAATAAATTTGAGAAGAAAATCTAGTTACAATAATAGTCTACAAATGAGCTGATACTGGGGATTTTCGACTCAATTTTTTTCTAAAAAGATGGCGATTAGACAAAAATTTTGAAAAAAAAATTTAATATATTGATAATTGAGGGAGTTATGATTGTTCAAAAAAGCCTACTTTTGGTCCAAAAAAATTGTTTTTTCCAAATTGGCCTCAATATTTCCACAGGGTTTCAGCTATCGCCCTTTGGCATACTCAAATAACATGAAAACCTCTTCAAAATGAGACGTCATACATAGCATTATCTTCAGTTTGATGGGGTTTACACGAGAAAACTTTCCTCTTTCAATCGTTAATTATTCAAAATAGTTATTTTCATCACAAGGTCGACAAAGTATTTTCTGACGAATGTGGCTTTGTATGGCTATAATCACATTCGTCAGAAAATACTTTTAGACCGTGTGATGAATGCAATTTTTGTGGAGGTTACACTCATTATATCGTCCATTATTCATCTTCAGTATGATTTTTTGAGCAAAAAATTATTATTTCTCTAATTATACAATGGAAATACATTTTTCAAAAAGCTTTCATTTGTTGGTAATCGAGAATTCAATTAAATTAAGTCATGTTCAATTATTCAATTAAATATTCATTTATTTGGGTGCTAATTGCATGAGTAATAGCGATTTTCGGTCATTTTTGATACTTGTCCCACTGAAATAGTATACTATACCGAAAATCGCTAATCAAACTTCCTCAAATCATAACTCCCTCAATTATCAATATATTAATTTTTTTTTTCAAAATTTTTGTCTAATCGCCATCTTTTCAGAAAAAAATTGAGTCGAAAATCCCCAGTATCGACTTTCTTGACATCCTGATTTGGCGTGGATCAGCTCATTTGTAGACTATTATTGTAACTAGATTTTCGTCTCAAACTTATTTCTTGAATGGAAAAGTTGACATTTATAGTTCAATTGATTTTACTGTATTTGTGAATGATTACTGACATTTATGTGTATTATCAATATAGATTTTCATTGGTTACTTTATTTGAAAAAACAATTGTTTTTTTAAATTTTTTTATCAATGAACGATAGTTTTTGAAACTGGTCAAAATCATAGAAGGACTTTGATGTTTTACTTGTACTCATTCTTGATTAAAAATGGTTTAACATTCACATGACTCTCTCATAGGGACATTTAAGTATAACAAGTCAAACGTTATGTGCTCAGTGGTCAATCATTGGCCAAGTACTGTCTGTTTTTTCCCTTCTCTGCGTTGTTGTTACGTATCCCTCCTGGGAAGCTTTTCAGGTATCAGCCTCATTGCAGCGGCATTTTCAAATGTTGATTATAATCTTCCTTAAGGTGGACAAGTTAACAATACGTTTTCTCGTTCACTCAATCTGGAGAAATACACAAATATCATAATTAGTCAAATAGTTCTGAATTATGTCACAGATTCTTAAACTCATAATAAATTAGCTTCATTCAAATAAAATTCTCAAATTATGGATAAGATTCTTATTCAGTTACAATAAATTTCTTGCGCGGTAAGAAATACTATATAAGGAATAAATTTTGTCTCCTAAGGTTCTTCATGAAATAATTATCCAGTCGCGAATATGCACAACGAAACGTTACAATCTGGATTATCATTTGAGTTGTTAACGATCAATTTCTTCAATTTTTTAATTTTAATTATTTTCTTTACAGGCCAGTGATGCAGGCAATGGACATAAGATTCACTATGTATCCAGTGAGTTTGATAATAAGCGCGATATTCTTAGCGGCAACACTTGCAGCAGGTTGGCTCTTACCTGCATCTCATCATGTACTACATTGGCGCTGTCAAACCCACCACGTTGTATGTCTAATGCTTGGTGATTTACTGATGGCTGTGATACAATTGGCTAGTAATTCACTTCATGGCAATAGCTGCAAGGCACTTGGTGAGTCACCAAATGAATTTTTATCTCCTCCATTCTATTCGCATGATGATTTCAAATTAGTCATTCACTTTGAACACTGGGAACACTGAAAGGAATTTTCATCCAAATGTAGATTCCGGGTTCAATCAAATATTTCCCTCGGAGCAGAGATATTCGAGACTAGATTCATTAAGCTAAATCATTTAAGAGGGCACGAGGGTAAAAAAAAACTATCGAAATGCGGGCAAATCTGAGCTCCATAAATTCTCATCGTTTGGTGAATTCCGAGGCTCAAAAGTGGTCACCACCAAATCCTTAGCATCACGAAAGTGTTATGGAACAAGTTGAGGGTGGTGTGAGAAGGATAAATATTTTTAATAAATGATTACAAATACGAGGTGGTTGACAGGTCTGGTCGTCGCCATGCTTGGATCCGCTTCCCTGGACCGCAAGGTACTTCCAAGATGGCGGCGCTCACAGCTGTCAGCTACCTCGTACTTTTAAACATTAAAAAAAAATACGTATCCTTCTCAGAACACCCTGAACTTGTTCCATAACATTTTCGAAGTACTAAAGATTTGGTGTTGATAACTTTTGAGCCTCGGAATTCACCAAATGAAGAGAATTTGTGGAGCTCAGATTTGCCCGCATTTCGGTAGTTTTTTTTTACACTCGTGCCCTCTTAATATTTTATCGGGCAATGTATTTAGATTACGTGACGGTATGAATGTCAAAATATTTGCAATAACCATCCGTGTGAAATACCTATAGCGAGAAACCGTGAGCTCGTGAGACATGGCCTTTAGTTCTTGACGAGAAAAATACCAGACCGATATGGCTCTCGCATTCTTACATAAAACAAGAATACGTTTGAGGTAATCGGAGACTTGGTTTCACAAAACTTCTCAATTGGAAACGCTAACTATCAAAACGCCACCTATGAATGGCGGATATTGTGCTGCACACAGACAGTATACAACCCAATTTGGGCTTGTGTTAGCGTGTATATGGGAAGCCTAAAATCGTCCATATTGGTGAACACGAGCGCCGCCATCGGTAATTAGCGGTCCCAATAGTTTCATGTCGCTATTCGTACGTGTGTGTGTGTGTTGAAGAATTCATCATCTGGAAAAGAACTTGCAGTTATGTGATAGGCTTACACTTCCACAAATCGAATCGTTTTTTATCTCTAATATACATGGAAAATCATGGAATAAAATTTTCTGATATTTTTAAAAAAGAGTCATTTACACCTAGTCAGTATCTGGCGGAATCGTTCATTTAAAAATGATATCATACCAAGCGCACTTTTTGATTCAAATTTCACGTGAGAATCATGGACTTTCTAATCAATCGAATTAGACTTTTCTCGTCGTATTGTCATCAAATAAATGCGTGGGGCTTCGGAAAATATGAAAACAATTTTTTTACTATTCAACTTACTCGTGTCAATTGTCCAATTTTACAAGGAAAAATGCTCCTAGTTCCTGGTGAACTAGAAGATTCATTATGTCGACCATCTAAAGATTGGAAATTAAAAAAAAAACATTCTTATGGGTGATGAAAAATGGAAAATTTTGCCCTCTAATAAATCGAAATTGGATGAGTAGAACACGAGTTATTGTGAAAAAACGGAACAATTTGAAAAAAATCACGCCCGGTCGCGCGCTTCGCGCGCTCCCTCTGGGGTATGACTGGTAGGGGTTGGTGGAATTGGGTGTGACTCATTACGGGTCGAACCAATAACTTCCCGGCCATTTGTTTTTGTTGACGCTGGGGTCATGCCACAGTGAATGCGGCGCACGCTATACGCAACGCTAGTCATTGTCAGAAATATTCGGAAAACAGTTGGATAATTATTTCATGCATTGCATGCGTTTAGCGTTGCATCCATTGTTATGTGGCATTATCCTTAGGGTGATTTCGCAAAGAACTCATTTGCAATTTAATTTAACTCTTATTTAACTTCAGTCAAGTTTGAGTTAAACCCACTTTTTACTTGACCCACTTCAAAATTCTCTTAACTCCGAAGTTGATCCACTTAACAATTTGCAACTTCAAAGTTGACCCACTTCAAAATTTTGTAACTTCAAAGTTAACCCACTCTAAGATTTTCCAACTTTCCTTTTTTTTTAATCGCAAAATTTGAAAGTTTTATTTAACAAATTCAACAACCACTGAGGCGATTCTGCTCAAAATCTAATGAGAATCAAGTTATGTGGAGACGCATCGATTACACAAAATTAATTGAAATCCCATCGTTACCTAAGGTAAAATGGTCGAATTTCTATGAAATTAACGCTTCTTGGCATTTTTTTACAAGTTTTATGTGGATAAATACAAAACCGCTGAGTCAGTTATCTTCATAAACTAAACAGTTCTACGTTACATGAACACACATCGTTTGAAGGTAGAAAAAAATCAATCGCTTCATTCGTTCAGGAGATATCGTTGGACAAAATGTTGGTTGCATACGTACACATATACACACAGGCACACGCACGCACACACACACACGAACATGTCTTCAAAATTCGTTAAAAATGATTCTAAACTTCAAGAAACGTGGACATATCATGAAAATTCCACATTCGATTTCCGGGGTCATTACTATAACTACCCGATAGATCGGGAAGTTAAAAATCATATTTCTGAACTGGGCTGTCAAAAAAATCTGAAAAAATTTGAGAGATAGTTTTTCAAGCCTCCTAATTGTAGAAAAAATCACCATCAATTTTCAAGAGGGTGAGGGTTAGCTGTTGACTCATTTGGCATGGAATACCTCATATACAGGGTGTTGAGGGCACTCACCTTACAAATATAAGGGGTATGTAGGGTGAAAAAATATAAGAATAAAGGTGCAGGAATTAATTAAATCGGATAATAAACATTTAAATGATAGCGATAAGAATTTTCTATTTATTGAGCCAATGATATCATGCTCGACGGCGGCCATGACATGGCCGTCATTAAACGGTAACGTTGTTGACGGCGGTAGTCTAGATATAGTGTTATGGAGGGTTCAATGTCTAAATCCCCGACGTGATATCTGGGGATTCTAGTGACTATTGACAATAGGTTGAGAATCGATCGGTGGCGACCTCAAGTGAATGAATGTCCGTCAGTTTAAATGGACGAACTAACGATACATGGGTTTAGAAGTGAAACGAGGAGAATAAGATTGGAAAATTCAAGAGTTTTTAATGGAGACTATTGATTTGTATTTCCCAAACATAATAGGGGGATTACAACATTTATTAATTATCATGAGATAATAATGCGATAGAGTGTCTGAACCGACCATCCTTCTTTTTTGCTATTCATTATTTTTTTCCATTATTTCATTTAATTAAAAAACCATGATGGCAATAATATCAGCTACCTTAGGAACATTCTGTCGTAAGAACATCAATTTTATCATTTTCTCCTTCCCTGATAGGACGATTGGACGAGATGAAAATATCAAAATCTAAAATTTCTCCATGACCGGGAATGTAAGGAAGTCGCTTTTCACGGTTTTCCCCCTACCATACAGTCTTTAGCGGAGAGAATGTAGTCTCGAATCTAGTATTGGGATGAAATTAGAGTCTCGCGATAAGGCTTTCAATGGAATTCATTTTTGCGGCAATCTCATGTGCAGTACGTGTCACAGCGAAAATTGAAGATATTTTACAACGTGATAATTTTGACGACTGCTGCCGCAATAGTTACTACGGTACTTATAGCTACAGCTATCACGGCAGTTTCTGTGGAACTTGTGGCGACAGGCACTGCGACAGTGTGTGTGGCAGTTTTGGCAACAGGCATCGGGACAATTAAGGCAATAGTCACTGCGGCACTTGTAGTGACAGCCACCACGACACTTAACGCGAGTGCGACCGCGATAATTTTTGCAGCAGTTGTAGTTACAGCTACCGCGACAATTAAGGCGATAGTTACTGTGGCACTTGTAGCGACAGCCACCGCGACACTTGAGGAAACCGCCACCGTGATTGTTACTGGGATACTTGTACCTGCAGATATCGCGACAATTGGGGCCACTATCATTGCGATTGATACTGCGGCATTTGTGGATATAACTACTGCGACAATAAAGTCAACTACGACCGCGATGGTTACTGTGGCCCTTGTAGCTATCCCCACCGTAATAATTGAGGCGACAGTTACTGCGGTACTTATAGCTACAGCCACTGCGAGATTTGGGGTTATTGCCACCGCGATAGTTAGTACGGTACTAGGAACTACAGTTATCGCGACAATTGAGGCGACTACTACCGTGATAGTTACTACGGCACTTGTAACTACAGCTATCGAGACAGTTTTTGTGGCACTTGTAGCGACAGCCACCGCGACAATTGGTGCCATTGTTAATGCGTTAGTTACTGCGGCACTTGTAGCGACAGCCACTCCGACAGTGTGTGTGGCAGTTTTAGCTACAGCCGTCGAGACAATTGAAGTAAACGCTACTGCAATTATTACTACGGGACTAGTAGACGCTGCTACAATTTTGGTGACTACTACCGGGTTAGCTACTGCAGCACTCATAGCTTTAGACATCACGCCGGTGTCTGTGGGATCTTCAGTGACACCACATCTCCAATTCTGGCGATCGTTACCACGTGTTACGTATTTTCGTAATTGGAAAATACACGTATGAATACGTGACACATGATAGTTACTGCGGCATTTTTAGCTATAGCTACCGCGACAATCCATGATTCTCAATTTTATTGTAGGCAGAGTTTGGAATTGTTACAGATGTTTAAATTTCGACAATAACTATAAAATTATTCAACTGTTAGATACTCTGAGAAGTTCTGCACAATGGATACCCGGTTGGGAAACAATGAAATCGAAGAAGAGTGGGGTAAAATGGGACGCGAAAACGTAACAACGAGTGCATTTATCCGACAAAGTTTGGAATTGTTACAAATGATTCAATTTCGACAAAAATTATAGAATTAATGAACTGTTAGACGCTCTGAGAAGTTCTGCACAATGGATACCCGATTAGGAAATAATGAAATGGAATGAGAGTGGGGTAAAATGGGACGCGTAAACGTAACAACGAGTGCATTTACCCGATAGAGTTTGCAATTGTTACAAATGATTCAGTTTCGACAATAATTATAGAATTATTGAACTGATAGACGCTGTGAGTAATTCTGCACAATGGATACTCGTTTGAGAAACAATAAAATCGAAGGAGAGTGAGGTAAAATGGGACACGAAAACGTAACAACGAGTGCATTCACTCGATAGAGTTTGGAGTTGTTACAAATGATTCAATTTCGACAATGATTATAAAATTATTAGACTGATAGACGCTCTGCGAAGTTCTGCACAATGGATACCCGGTTGGAAAAGAATGAAGTCGAAGAAGAGTGGGGTAAAATGGGACGCGAAAATGTAACAATGAGTGCATTTACTCGATATTGTAGCTATGGTTTTATTCTGAGAATGAGGTCCCCGGAAAAACATGGTCGGTATTTACTAATTCGAGGACGTAGAACACGAATATTTTGGTTATTTTTACATCCGATTTGCCATAGGTATTATTATTAACAATTTAGTCGTTTAGAACGTGTTATTCCGTACCCATGACAGATACGGAAAAAAAATCAAATTGAAAAATGTTGCGCCAGTTATTTAAAATAACTTTTATTGTATGCAAAATTTCCATTAATCCATTTGTTAAAGAGATAACGCCCAGAGAGACTTACGCGAGCGCACGACCGTTCGTTCTGGGATGAACGTCATGCTCATTACGGGACAGTTTTGAATCAGATAAATCCTTCGCCTGAAAATTCATCGGTTATTTCCCTTAAGTTTCCCTGTCCAGCAACACGTGTGTGCAATTTGGCACGAAATCCCCCCACGTTACCAATTTCTATGATTTGTTCCGCGTTTTCATTTATCACGTCTTCCCATCAGCTGAGAACACCCTTAATGTTCTCCTTTTCATCTTGATGACCCTTTCTCATTGCAATAGGAAATCTCTATAAACTACGTGAAATTGAAAACATCCAGTTTTGCCGATAATTTAGAGATTTCTTGTCAATCATACCACAGGAAAACTGGAATACTAGAATTGAAAACATAGAATAAGGAACGAAATTGCTAGGACTTACTTTGGTAATGTTACTGGTTTCTTCACAGGAATATGGAGTGGCTCGTGTGTACAAATTGTTATGCATACCTGAATTGATTCTCGAAAATTTGCTGACGGCGAAATACAGAGAGCACTGAAGTAGGTGAGAGAGGTTTCTGTATTCCGCGCGACATAATGATCCAAGATTAAAGTGTACATTCGTGATGACTGTCATTAAAAGCGTTACATATTCAATGTTACCGCGAAAATTCCGGGAGAACCTTAATTTTTGCAGCGGCTGTCGCCACCAGTACCGCAGGAACAGCCGCGATAGATATTGTTACAAGTACCGCAGTAACTATCGCGGTAGTAGTCGCCTCAATTGTCGCAATAACTGTAGTTCCAAGTACTGTAATAACAATCGCGGTAGCAGTCGTCAAAATTATCGCGTTGTAAAATATCCTCAATTTTCGCTGTGACACGTACTGCACACGAGATTGCCGCAAACATGAATTCCATTGGAAGCCTTATCGCGAGACCCTAATTTCATCCCAATACTAGATTCGAGACTATACTCTCTCCGCTAAAGACTGTACAGTAGGAGGAAAACCGTGAAAAGCGACTTCCTTACATTCCCGGTCATGGAGAAATTTTAGATTTTCATATTTTGATCTCCTCCAATCGTCCTATTATCAGGGAAGGAGAAAATGATGAAATTGATGTTCTTACGACAGAATATTCATAAAGTAGTTGATATTATTGCGACTATGGTTTTTTAATTGAATGCAATAATGGAAAAAAATAATGAATAGCAAAAAAGAAGGATGGTCGGTTCAGACATTCTATCGCATTATTATTATCTCATTATAATTAATAAATGTTGTAATCCCCCTATTATGTTTGGGAAATACAAATCAATAGTCGCAATTAAAAACTCTTGAATTTTGATAGTACCTTCAAATGATGTTGTAAAACTACGAATGATAAAATGAGCATCATAACGAGAGAGATTGTGAAATACAATGGGAATAGTATGAATCTTGATATGCAAGGTTACAACTTCTATGTGCTACTCCTCGATATTTTCCAGTTAGATGACAATGATCACGAACCTTATCACTTTCACTCAAAGGTTTTTTACATATGTAGCATGTCACTGCTGATTGGAAATCTTCAGTTTGCTGAGTTGATAAGTTTTCCATTTCCAGATTGGTCTTTAAGTATTTATCTACTCTGTATGCTAGCAACTTCATCTCCGTTGAAAACCATGGGTTTTGAGTTCTGATAATGCATCATCAAAAGCACATTTTACATAGAATGCGATACTATGAGGTATATGATGATCATTCTCTTTTGAATCTATCAAACATTCTAAATCTGCGTAAACGACAAATGGGACGGTTTCTGCATGTTTGAAATTCTTAAAGTTCAATATTTTATCTTTCTCTTCAGGCGTGAAAGTCAATTGTGCTCTCTCATGCAAAATTTATTTACAATAATAAAATCGGATGAGGTTCAAGAAGAAATAAAACATTTCACCACGAAAAACGAAGTGATTCTCCTTGCCACAAAATTGAGCTGTTGGTTTGATCATTTTATTGTTAATCATCTAATCGTGAGGCTAGAAGACTTCCAAGAGACTGATTCTGGGTGGGCGTTGGGTGAAATAATAAATTTAGTGGTCAATGTCAATAAATTTGAACCCTTGACAAGTGGGGACTCGACATTCATCAAGCTGCCGAAAGATATACAAGCCAAGAAAGCTGTGGTCAATATAAAAAACAGGGATCACTTCTGTTTCTTGTGGGCAGTGACGGCAGCTCTTCATCCTACAAGTGTTAATGCAGATCGGAAAATTTCGTATCCTGATTTCCATAAAATACTTAAATATGAAGGTCTCAGTTTTCTGATGATACTCAAAGGTATTCCCAAGTTTGAGGAGATAAATGATCTGAGGATCAATGTTTATGGTATGGAATCACATGGTCATAATAACACCATCTTCCCTGTGTACCTGAGTAAGAAAGTTACAACTCGAGAAACAATCCACTTATTAATGGTTGAGAGTAATGCAAATGAGTGTGATGAACCAATCTTCCACTTCGCAGGGATTCGCAATTTATCACGTTTAGTTACAGGGTGTCCCATAGTATGTGACAAAAGTAAATTGCGAATAACTTGAATACGGTTAAGTGTAAATAATTGTTGTTCTTTTTATTGTACACAGAACATTCGAAAAATTATAATACAATCCCTTCCAAGTGTCCGCCATCACTTGTACTACAGAACTCTATCCTACGCTCGAAGCTGGTATAGATGCGCTGTATTATGTTTTCATCAATAGCTCGGACAGCATCCCTAATTGCGTCTTGCAACTCTTCCACAGTCGTCGGATGCTTTTCATAGCACTTGTCCTTGAGAAAACCCCACAGGCAAAAATCACAGGGATTTAAGTCAGGACTGTAAGGCGGCCATTCCATGCCCCCATGGGCATACTTAGGGTAACCTAAACCTAACACACGAGTGCCGTAAACGGAAAAAAGTGTTTCAAATACTCCAGTAGTCCTGTGTGGGGCGGCACCATCTTGCATGAAGTAGAAATTCTTGACTAATTGATTTTTTCGTGCCCAAGGAAAGAAGTTCTTTTTCAAGAACTCACAGTAAATGTCAGCATTAATTATCCGACTCTCGAGGAATTCAAGGAAAACACCCTTTATGGTAACTGCCG